CCTCTATACCTCTAAAAAAGTAACTCCAAATGTGATACCAACTCAATTATTGCTTTTACTGATAATTATGTGTTTTTTTTATTTTTTATTTATTTTTCTATTCATCTTGCGGATTTGTTTCCTAAAAGGCAAGTGAAAAAAAAGAGGCACTAAAACCACAGGCCTTGCTAATTGCTGTACTGTTAAAAGAAATAGACAAAAGGCCATCTTTTTTTTGTTGTATTTTTGTATTTTATACACTAACAATTTCGCACTTAAAATAAGATGCAAGGAAAGCACATAAACAAGGTGTTGGTTGTCTAACGCATGTTATTATCATGTTAAGCTTCTGTATTCACATTATTTGGAATTAAAGAGATAAAGGGTTGATCAGGGATATTTGTACCTAATATGCCCTGAAAAAAGTCTTCAGGCCCCTGTCACACCTCGCCGATTTAGCCAGCGTGCCTGATGTCCCAGAATCTCCTAAAACACTGGCATACGCTGAACTCTAAGTATTTTTTTTTTCAATTTTGGGCATATACATAGAGTATTCATAACGAGCAGAGCGTATTTCCAACGACAGCCTAACTTATGCTTAACAAACTGCAGCGTTATGCCCATGAAATGTCATAAGCCAGTGTCCTGAGGGGGGCAGCAATGCACCACAAGAAGGAGCAGAAGAGATGGAATAGAATAGAAAATCCCTTTATTATCTTTTCTATTTTAGGCCTTTTTTCTGCTATTGAATACCTTTGGATTATTGGTATTCTGTCATGTTTGTGCTTTCAGGTGAAATGCATTCAGGAATTTGATGCTGAGAAAAATTCCTGTGAGGCAACCGTCACTCCTGCTTCTGCAGATTCAGACCTAACTCAGGTAACTGATGGGATAAGTCCTAACTTATTCGCTTTTTAAAAATATTTAATGTCAGGATTTAAAAAAAATATATTTTTCATAGTTTTAAGTCAAGACAGACAGAAAGAATTGCTTTTCTTTTCCCACAGATCGAAGAGCAGTCAGTAGCAGCAGCAAGCACATCTCATAATGCAGAAACTAAGAAACCGGCTTATTTTGGGGTGGAAGAGAACCGAACAACTGAGGAAAAACAAAAAATAAACATTCATTCTGAAAGTGTTGAAGGTGAAACTTCTCACTGTCGCATAACTGAGGAGCAGACAGATAACCAAGCCAGCACAGAGATCCCAGAAGCAGAGAGAGAGGCGTCTCCAACACCTGTTTTACCAAAAAGTCCCCCTCCAGCTCAACAGAAATCTTCAAGTAAAACTTCCTCAACTAAAAGACCAAAAAAAAAGCAGGAGCCTTCCCCGTTACAGGAACAACCACGGCGTCGGCTTACACGCAGGCAGCTTGACCTGGAGGCATCCTCTTCATCCCCTGAGTCTTATGTGAAAAAACTAAGATCATCCTCGAGCACCGCTGAGCAGTCAACACCATCTCCTCCACCCTTGAGAAAAAGAAAATATGCCGAGAAGTCTTCTAATCAAAGAGCCCAACCAAGAGAAGAGACTCTTCAAAAGAAAGCCAGAGGGAGGAAGGCAGCAGCTGTGGTGGAGAGTGATGAGGAGCAGGACAGCCATGATGCTGAGGATAAATCAGCACAAGCAGGTTTGGCATCATTACATGATGAAAAAGTAGAGACTCTATCAACTCTTAATTGCTTTTTCACTACCAAGAGTTACTGGATAATGTTCTAATATATATATATTGTTTTTCCTAAGATGAGCCTAACTCAGCCCCACATAAAGCAACAAAGAAAAAAGAGAAAAGACAGCTGGGAATTCTTGAAATGGCTACAAAGGAGTTTGAAGATGGTTCTGAGGTAGAGCTACAAACACAGTCACAAAGATCAGAGCATATTAGCTCCAATTTCAATTTCTCACTATGGTAGTGTACCATTGATACCATTAAATGGAAAGTGCTGTTTAGAGATTCACCAATCAGATTTTCTTTTGCTGACTCTAATTTCTGTTTCTTTGCTGTCTAATTTGCTAATTACTTTTTTTTTCTATGTGTAAGACATTAAACACTGTCTCTGTGGGTCTTTAAAGTCTCTTACAGTTGAAAATCTAAGTTTAAGGCTATAAAAAAAGTCTTAAATTCATGTAATGATCTTTTATTTATAGGTCTTAATTTTCATACACCCATGTAACACTACATCAGATTTTTCTGCAACACTTAAATTAGATATTTTTGGAAATATTTCCAATCTAGATTCCTGGGATCCCAGTGCATGACATACACTGCAGCCAGCAGCTGTATACATTGTTTTTGAACCGCTGTGTTTATTTAAGATTCCAGCAGATGATGACCTTAAAAAGATGAAGAAACAAAATGTAAATGATTTATTTCTAGAAACAGAATTAGTCTGCAACCAAGATAAATTGTCTCTGAGGTTCAGATGAGGGTGAGAAGAGTGAACACAGCAAGAAACAGATGCTGAATCAAGAAAATCGTAGATTAGATCAGGGATTAATCCAGTGCAAAAAAATAAACAGGGCGAAAGACTGCAAAGAAAATGGAATTGACTGTAATGCTTCATAAATTATTTATGTGCGTGTGTATGCAGATACATTCGAATGGCAAATTTATTTACACACTTTTTTTTCCCATAGTCTGACAAGGATGAGGATTCAGTTCTCCTCAACAACGATGGAACAACTTCATCAGCAGGCGCTCTGGAGCCATCAGACCCGACCCCACATCAGCCCGGTGCCGAGTCTCCCCCTGAAAGCAGTGGATCCAGCCCGCAAAGGACTGTACCAGAAAGCCAGGTCTCCAGTAGTAACTCTGTTCCAAACAATAGCTGCCCCGATGCTGGTCCTTCCCGGCCCATCAGAGCCTCTTCAAAGGCTCACCTGTTCATATTCGACAGTGAATCTCAGCAAGATGACTCTCAGTCTGTGGTTGGTGAAAGCTTAGCAGCTCCATCTCACTCGTCGTCATCAAAGGACAAGGACGCAACCTTTTCTCTAACTCAGGTGCAGTTAGAGGAGGACAAGCAGCGAATCCGAGAGCTAATGAACCAGACCAACAGGGTGAGTGCTGTGGCTGGCCGTTGTACCCCAGTGCTGTCACTTAATTTACAGTTTCTTTTGAATTTGTCTTTCTAGGACTTGGTCAGTGTGACCAAAGCTTTGCTTAAGACCAGCGGAGACTTCGCTTCTGCAGTTGATTTGCTTTTGAATCTGTCATTTGTCTCTGCACCTCTCTGGAATCGCCATGACGATGGTTTGTTGCATTCAACCGATCCTACTGTCCGTCGGATGCTGCAGGAAAAGTACGGTGAAGAGAGCCTGGCCAAGAGGATTGCTTTTCTTGAAGTGGAGGGCTAAAAGTGATCCAATATGAAATATCTGGACATTCTGTGCTTGATGCATGCTTCATGCGTGCAAATTGCTCATAAATAGTATAAATTTCCACCTGAAGTTTATCTTTAGCTAAATTTGACAAACTGGAAGTACTGTCCTTGCAAAATAAATCAGCTCCTACTTATTCAATCAGAAACATATGAAGTAGCAATAAATGTCTATTCCAATTTTAACTCTTTATAAATGACAAATTTCTTAAAGTTTTATCAAGATTAAGCTGTTTTTACCTATTACACTTAATAAGTACCAATGAGATTGGAATATTTGTAAGTGATTGGTTTTGATGATTTTAGCAGATGTGCTCTGAATTTGCTTGATTTAATAAACTTGTGGAAAAAAATACTGTTTAAGTTTTTTTTTTTTACTCCTTTAACAGATTAGGCAAACCAGTGCAATAAGGGAAAAGAACTCTGGTATCACTAAATGTTTACATTCTTTGAAAGAGAAAAGAGATTATTTGCATCACAAAAAAAAAACTTGAAAAATGTGGGTTTATTGTTTAAATGACAAAGTTTGTCTAAGCTATGAACTTGTCAGCATATTTCTGAATTCTCTTGCATGAGCTTGGTTTTGAATAAACATACCCTGCACACCTTAACTGAAACTTGTCACTATAAAAAATATATATATTTATAGTTTAACTATTCTTTACTGATCTGTGTTGGCCTCAGCCTTCCTCTATGCTGTCGTCTGCTACTTACCTGACCAAATCAATATCCCCGAAGTTTATTTAACTTGATGCTATATTCTGATTACAAAGTGTTCCTTTAAGTTTTTGAGTAGTGTGTATATATATATATATATACACATCCACAAGCATGTTTCACCTGGACAGGTTGCCAGTTCATCACAAAGAAGAGCAACCACATACTCACACCTAGGGGTGGACAGCAACTCCTTATCAATTTATAGTAAAATACAACTTTATTTAAAAACAGTGTTATGACTTTTAACCATATTTCCATTGTTTCAATAAACATAACAGGGGTTACATTGATTACAGCATTTGTCAATGACTGATGTTGCTGTTTCTGTGTAATTCTGCATGTCTAGTTAAATTAGCTCTAAGAAGTTGGTAAAATAATCATAAGGTTGTAAAGGCTTATGTTGTGGGTTTTCCTGGCAGTCTTATCTAAGGCCTTTCTTTTGTTTTATACTGATATTGTAATAATATCACAGCAGCCAAAATAAAGAAATATATTTTGTTAATTTAGAATCTCCAAATGGTAAATGGCCCAAACTTAAATAGCACTTTTTCATTACATTCAGTCATTCACCCATTGATGGTGTCAAGCTACATTGTAGCCACAGCTAACCCGGGGCACACTGACAGACTTCTTTGCCAGAGGAAGGCAATGTAGGTGAAGCGTCTCCCCTAAAGACACAATGACTGAGACCGAGTGAGCAGGGATTTAAACCAGCAACCTTCGAATTACAAGCATCACCTGTCAGTCGTGTTTATGGAGGGGGAAACCCTTCTGCAGAGACCTCCAGACTGGAATTTTAACCCAGGACCTTCTAATTTTATTAGAATCATATAAACACCACAGTCCCTGAAATCACTCTTTAAAGGAAGAATAACATTTAAAAGATTAAAAAGAATAAAAAAAAAAAATACAATGCACAACATTTTATTACCAATCCACCACTTTATTTAACATTACCCTAAAATGAACTAAATACATTCATCAGTTTTAAACTAGGACAGCCCACCACCCTCATGAGTTTACCATATAAATAATTTCAACAAAAATATTAGAAAAAAATAATAAACTTACAAATCTAAGAGTAAAGAATATAAATAAACAACAGCCAATTGAAATTAAGATGTTACCTTTGAGGCAAAATAAACATCAAAACAGGGGACTTGATAAAAGTTCAGCAGCTTCTATGCAAATATTGCTGCAGCTTGGACCTCCCTAAAACAGCAGAAATGTTTACTAGCAAAGATTAAATTTTAACGAAAAAAATTCCCAGACTTTATCAAAAAAACATCCTTGTATAAAACCCCATTTTTTTGTTTAGTATGAAACATTCATATCACGCAAATTTACATACGCCTTGGTGGCAAGCTTGAAAACTTGTTTAGTAAAGCAAAAACTCACACTTAGGTTCCCAGCATGTAACCAAACACCATGTGTCCCTGCGTTTTTAACAGCTACATTATTTAAGGTCTTTAGAGGCTTCCAGTAAAGCTACATTCAGCAAATAAGAGCTAAAGCTTTTTTAACTAAAAAAAAGGAAACCTGCTTTGACTGAGAGGGTCAAGATGTTATACCTGACATTTAGTACTTAGCAGGAGTTTTGGACAATGGAAAAAATCAGTGGTTGGCATGTGCACTGGGAATGAGTTTACACAACTTTACAAAGTCAGAATTATTAATCCTGGGTTTATTCTTTATGACAAAGAAGATTGCTTAGGTTGGCTGGTAACGTGATGATCGGAGGAGCCAGAAATACATCAGACCTGTGGTTCATGAATGCTACGTCCATACAGTCATTAAGTAATGTGAGTAATGTTCAGCAGAAACAACAGAATGGCTCTTTGTTATTGATCAGGCTGGTTTTATACAAACAGTTTGACATTTTCCCCCTTAAGCAGACTGATCTAAAACGTTCTCTTGAGTCAGTTGTTAAAAAAATAACTGCAAAAATTTTATGTTTTAGGTTATTAAAAGCTAAAATAGCAACAAAGCTTAATGGTTAACACAGTTTGGTTAAAAAGAATACACATTTTCGCAAATGTAAAATATAACGAGACAGTAAACAGTCAGAAATACATTTGTTTTGCTCAAAGTATATGTTAAAAGAGACCCAGAACTTCTTTCCCACGTATAAACATGCTTCATCATATTCTGCCCACCGAAAATCTTGAAGATAGAAGTAGCTCTTAACCCGGATCCATTAAATCACATTTAAAAATAAACATATGATTGAAACAAACAAAAAAGCCTTTTGTCTCTCCATCCATTGATTAGAATCTGTGCTGAATTATTTTACCATTCTGCAGCAAAATGACAAACAAAAAAAAGGCCTCTGGGGTATATCCAATCGCATGCTGACAGACATTAAGTACAGACTGAGGTTTCTAGCCCTGTTCTAAGAAACGAAGCAATAAGGAATCTGCTCTCCTGCAGAGGACTCTGCAAGACAGCATGATATTGACAAGTAAAATTACTATTTTTCTAAGCTTAAAAAATAAAATATGCCCTTTGGTTTCAGCATAAAAATCAGAAACGAGTTGTGTCCCATTTTTAAGCAACTAAGTGTTGATTTGTGCAAATTAGGGGCACAACGCACGAGTGGCATTTCCACAGTGAAGCAGATGTGAGTAACAGCAGAGCACTGCCTGCATCAATAGCAAGCTAAACCTGGCAAACAATCACTCTGCCTTGGAAAAGCAGTCATATTTTTTAAACTTTTTTCACCATTTATTATGATACAGCTACAATCATCAACGTGTTTTATTGGGATTTTATGCGTCGGCTTTAAACAGGCGAGCATGAAGCAGCCAAGAGAGCTTTGGTTACTATAGATGAGCTGCAGAGAGCTACAAACTTGGACAGGACAATTATTCTTTTTGTATTCTGCAACTCTGGTTATTTAGAGGAGATCAGATGGAAATATTTGTTATCTATATAAAAAAAATAATAGTAAGGCAGAAAAATAATAAGCATCACCATAAAAAACTTTCAGTTAATGGGTTTTTTTTTTTCAGCAGCCAAGGATAAACCTATTAGAGGCTGCAAAACACTTGAGTATGGAGAGCTACCAACCCTACACATACATTTATTTAGGAACTGTGGCAAGACTTCAAAAATTAATGCTAACTGAAACTCTACATCCAGTTTCTTTTAGTTTGGCATATTTTTAAAAGATGAATGTGCAAAAGTTTAGCCTCTAATGCAAACCTGGAAAGGTAACTCCAAAAGATTTGCAGCTATAAAAAGGTGGTTCTGCAAAGATGTAATGCAGAAGGGCAGAACATCAATTCCTGACACACTTTTCAGATTTATATTTTTAAAGAAATGACAATGATGACATTGTCAAAATGTAAAACTAAGTATTTTATTGCTTCTACCTAAGAATTATGGATACTGACATAGATTTTTACTGATATGGAGTTTGGTGTTGGTCAATCACATTCAATCCCAATAAAATATATTTAAGGTATAGTGGAGGATTTTTTATGAATTTTTGAAAATACCCGCCCTCTCCACCTTAAAAAAATGCACCTGCACAACCCCGTATTCGCTCCCAAGAAGGAACGCCTATTAAACTGTGCAAGAGCATGCAGGAGCTTATTTCTGCTTGTGCACCCTCTGTTTAAAAGTTGCTGTTTGCATTGCTCATACAAGCTTACCTTTCAAAAGAAGATTTTGGATTTTTCCACTACTGTATGTCAGATTCACCATCGGTAAGTGAAAATGGGGACGAACACGTAGGACGGCCTTACGTAAACATATCACCAGAATGATTGAAAATTAGGAGGACCACTTATTTTGATGATCCACCTGGAAAAAGAGCATTCTCCGCTATACCTTTAATGTTTCTGATTGAAATGTAACAAAAAGTGAACAAGTTTAAGGGTCACAAATACTTTCGCAAAGGCCTATTTTATGATATATTAATATTTTATGAGCACTAATCCAGTTGATACCCCAAATAAAGATAGTAAAACTTAAAAAAAAAATACCTGCTTTATTTAGAAGAGGCAGATGGCTTTAAGATAAGCAAAGAAGGGTAGCAACCAGTCCAAAAAGCAATAAGGCTGGCTAAATTGCATAGAATTCAGTAGTGCACCGCTGCATTTACAAAAAAGGGCTGTGCTCCTTTCCTCTGTTGACTTTGGCAAGCCTGCAGAGTTCCCTTGATAAAAAGCAGAACTTCAACACCATTTCTTTCCAATTCTCTTCGTCTCCATGACAGAAGACACTTAAACCCGAACACTTAAATTTGGACTCTGAATACCACACCTGGGATCAAATCACACAAAAAATCAATCAGCAGAAACACGTTTCTCAGTCTCACAGATGTATAGTTATAGTTTTGGTGAATTTTTGTTGGAGTACAATATGTACTGTATTCAATTCCTTTAGAATAAAAGGATCTTAACTGGATAAAAAATACTTTTCCGCTTGTTTAAAATATTTTTTTTTCCTCCTCTGCAAAATGATTTGAAGCCCTGGAATCAGCAGCGAGAAAGAGAGCACAGCTTGGTGTCTGCATTCAGGAAGCAGAGACACCCCCACCACCAGCAGAAACAGTATAAAAGCACCAGTAGCCTGCACCATGTTAAGCTTATTCCACCTCCGGCCAGGATGACACTGTTCATATCTAAACTCCAATGACAACAGGAGATGGGATAAAACCCAGGCACACAGCCATCAGCTGAGCGGGACTTCAGCCTCTGCATCCTTATCAGAGATCTCATCCTGGATCTCGTCTGTGTTCCCTGAGTCGCTGCTGGCCACCGAGCTAAAAGAAGGAGAATTCCTGCCACCTTTAATCATCCGTCGACAGGTCTCCATCTGCACATCCAGGCCTCTTTTCATGCTGCACATTTCCATGTACTCGTGCAGGTGTCGGGTCATGTCGCTCTTTGCTGTGGCCAGTTCCATCTGAAGAAATATCAACATGATTAGCTGATGACGTGTTGAATCAGACTCCTAAATGCATCCAAAATGCAAATAAGGAATTACAACGTTCATCCGACTTTGACTTGGATGATGTAATGTATGAAGAAAGCGTCCTAATAATAATAACATCTAAGCTAAAAATATTTATTCCAAAAGTTTCAAATGCATGAAATGACTAAATCTTGCAAAATGGTGTCATGGACATTGATTTTAAAACTATTAACTATATCAACAAACCTACTTTTTTTTTTTTTTTTGAGGTGTGATTCCTTGAAGCCCCTGGCACACCTTAACGACATAGCCAGTGTTTGCCTAAGGTCCTAAAACCGTCTAAAATACTGACATACACTGATCTTTCTATGTATTTTTTCAACTCTGGGCGTATACATAGTGTTTTCACATCGAGTCGAGAACTTATGTCCAACGACAGCATAATGTCCATGAAACGTCACAAGCCAGTGTCCTGAGGAGGGCAGCAATGCGCCCGGAGGGGCCCGGCCTGCATAAAAAGATGTTTTTGATCACGGTATTAACCTAGCTCCTGTTTCTTTATATAAAAAGAAACAGAGACTGCAGAAGGTTTGCAGTCAGCGTCATGTTTGGTAGGAAGCTTGTTGGGCGTTAACGCGGGCATGAACGCAGGGAGGAACCATTACTCTCACCTTCTCGCTCAACCTATTATGGGGATGAAGTCTGGAGGAGTACAGATGGTTTCCTCCTGTGAACCCCCTTTTATACCAAAGTGCTGCCAATAAGCCATTATACAGTAGCTGTAAGTTAGAAATGCGTTCAGCTGTCAAATACGGAACATGGAAAATACATTTATATGCGTTGGAGATAAGTTCTTGACTAGTCATGCACAAGTTACTCATTGTTTTTGGATAAGCTAGATGAAACGACTTATGAATAACCTACACTTAACGTATGTCAACAATCACTGGCTGAAGGTCAAGGTGTGACAGGGGCTTCATTAAAACGGGTGTCAGCAGGAGAAAGCCAGATTGGTTGGTTTTAGTCCTGAATCGAGGATAACTGGTCTTGTCCATACAAACCTTTGCATGTATGTTTTGTTCATTTTGCAGATGTATCCTCAGATTTATTTAAAGCCTCTGTAATCCAGACTTCACTATAATACTGACAATAATAAAGAAACTAAAAAACTTCAAGCACCAACAATTGTTTCTTGTAGGCAGGATACAACTCTGGCCAAAACTTGCAACAGTAGTTCTTTTTGGATTGAGCAGAGATTGACTTAGATTTCTAACTCTAGTGTGTTGTTGAACGCTTTCTATGAGATGTCAGGATGTCTTATTTCACCACATAATCATATGTGTTTCAGTGTACCTCAATCTGTCCGATGGTCTCCTGGTATTCCTTCTCCCTGTTTTTAAATAGTGACTCTGTTTCATCAATGAGGCTGCCAAGACTTCCATCCTGTGAATCCTTAGAAAGCACAGACAGAGGCCTCATTTATCACGCACAAGTTTATATCTTACTGGTACAAGTCTGAAGAAAGTGTTTTCATTCAGACTGGGCTTACCGGATCAGCAGCCTCGGCGCTGGCTTCGCATGGGCAGGCGGCAGTGCAGGTCGTTGCAGCGATGGTGCATGGCATGTTGTAGTTTGTGAAATCCTCCCACAGCAACAGGGTCTCCTCGTTTTCCTCCCATGTCAGACTGTCGCAGTCATCGTCGATTTCAAATGCCTCACGCCTAGCAACAAATGAGTTATCTGAGCAATGTCTGCGTGGGACAGGGACAGAGAAAAAAAAGGAAAAAGGAGAGAGGAAAAGGGAGGAAAGCATAGAAAAGTGTAACAGCCAGCAGGTTCAGCAAAGGTTGCATGCAAATAGGAAATTAATAAGTCAAAATAAGACATTTATTGCGAATATTAGCAGTAAAGGGTGCAGCCGCAGTAGCTCATAATATTATCACAAAATATTGGTCAACTGTAAATACATAAACCATATAAATGCCAACATAAACACCAAAAAACAAAAAAAAAACGTGCAGATTGTTAGTTGCGATATTAAAAATGAACAGCAGAGGGAGACAAAGAAATGCACACAACCAAATCTAGAAAGTCCAAATTGCAAAATGCATTTAGTTTGATTCCTACTTTCCTCGTGGAGCTTTATAAGGAGGGAGATGTCACTTACAGCTGGTTGAGCATGCGCTTCATCTCATCCGTGATGTTGAGCGATCCAGGGACCTCCTCCTCAGAAGTGCTTGGCTCGGCATCCATTTCGGAGTTCTCCTCATCTGAGATGGTCTTACGTTCCTTTCTCCTGCAGCAGGCCATGGCACCCTGCAGAAGACACAACTCGCTCTGCTTAGACTGGGCTTAAACACTGTCATCTATCTATTACTGTCTGTATTACCATTTGTTTTCCCTTTTTTAGCTAAAGTGCAGAACTCAACCAGGATAAAGCAATGTTTAGATAAATAAGTAACTTCAGGTCCTATCATTTCTTGCTCTTTTGTGTCCCTTTGAAAAAAAAATGCTTCTTAAAAAATTGCTGAAAACAATATTCCTTAGTTATTATTTGTTTGGACTTAATAAAAGGTAATTTTAATGATTAGAGCCTCATGTTTTCTTGAGAAAACACACAATTCTAAAAAAAAAAGTATGTTTTTTCATGCTTTACATGAAAGTCTACAAGGGTTAAAGCTTTTATTCTATTTTCATATTTTTTTAAAGGGGCATGAAGTTGTTGATGAAAAAAAAACAAAAACAAAAACTGCTTGTCCCAGAATAAAATTCCATGATTAAACTAGCATGAATTTAAATAAATGTTTAGATTTTTAGCAAATTCATTAAGATTTTTTAAATAAACTGTGGTTCACAAAACATGTACACAAACAGGTTTAAAGAAATGAAAAATGGAATTTTGAACAAATAAGAGTGAAAGAAAAAAGACTGAAGTCTAGCCTCAGTGTGAGCAAAGATATATCTTGAAAAGAAGTTAATGACAAAAAGATCTAATGACAGGACATTTTTAGCTTGAAAAGTATAGAAAAAACTTTCATATACACTAAAATATACTGCCTGCCAAACTTGCATGTCCTTTAAGTCCTTTAAGAAAAGCATTAAGTATACAAAAATAATTTACATATGTTTCTACACAATTCCAAGTGCATAAGTGAGCATGTACGTTTGCACCTTTCGGAGAGGTCAGTAAGTGCAGCATCAGCTGGTGCTGAATGGATCAGTTTAAACCAGGAGCAACTGGCAGCTCTGGTTTCATTACAGCTCAATGTTTTCTCTGTAGAATTTTTATTTATTTATTTATTTTTTGCTGCATTTGTTTTCAGCTTTTTTCCCACAATAATAAAAAAAAAACGTGCCTTCTCTGGAAGCGACCTGGCTGGGCTGACATTAAACATCTTTGACATGTCTTCCGAGTTGCGTTGCTGAGCCACATCGCACAGCTTGGCCGTGATGTCGATACGTCTGCAGATGTCCATGTCAACTCTTCTGGCTTTCTCTTGGATCTTTGTGTCCAGGTCAGACATTTCCTGCAAAATGACGGAGAGCAGTTAGATGAAAATGGATGTTTTTTCTCTCTATACCTTTTTGATTTTTGTTTTTTACAGACCTAGTTTGTTAATAATTTGCGGTCCAAGCATTTTCTTTTACTCTTTTCCTATTAAGTTCCGCAATTTACTGATCGGTTTGCAATAAAAAAAATCCTGCCTGCTCATGAAAAGGTATTTCTCAGTGTGATCCTTAGATCTGCATATTTTCATTTATTTGAAATTGGCTACAGAAGCTTGTTATTCTCTTCTTGTTCTGCTTATGTAAGCCATAGAAAATTCCATTACAACAGAATGATACATATTTTAATAGGTAAAGAAATAGCAATATTTCTTTGAGTATAAAATTATAAAAATGTATTTTAAGAGTTTCATAAAAAACATTAGACAAGTTTTCAGGAGCAGACATCAAGCTGTAAAAAGACAATCTGCTCTCTGGTGCAACAACTGTTGGATCACCAGATTCAAAATCACATCAACACCCACATAACACATACACCCACTATAACTTCTAAAACATACACAAAAAAATATCTATGCTGTCTAAATTTCTGATTATCTGCCACTTACCAGCCTCTGCATTCAAACATCAGGGATGAGGTAAAGAACAGAAAGTACCATGAAAATCGGACAACAAACAGATGGCAAAGTGGAGATAAGCAAGAGATTTTACACAAATAACAGAGCCTGGCTGTTTACTTGTGACCAACAACAGCTTTGAATTCTGTTATGTATTTTAACTTTATCACAGCAAAGCACACCTGTCTGGAAACAATACAGGCCTCTGCTTTGACGAATGTAGGCTTATCATAGGTGCATTATTACAATTCACATTTTCGTGTCAACAAATAAAGCAGGAAGGAAGGAAGGGTGTGTCTTGCTATTTAGACAAAAAAGTAAAATGAGAACATTTTGTCTGATAATTCCTGGGAAAACATTAAATGCTGCTGTAATGTGGGCTTTAAGTGGAAGAGTAAACTCAGATCTTGATTTATGAAAGGGTGAGGAAGAGACAGTGACATCATCGCAGCAGTGAACAAATACTTACGTCACTCATCAGGCTCTTGAAGACCACAAGTTCAGCCTTGAGTCTGTCTACCTTCTCATTCAGCTCATCCTGGATTTCTGATGAATCCCTGGCGCTCTAGATTGATGACAGCAGAAGAGATTCACTTAAAAGAAAAATGAATACTTCATTTCAAAGTTCCATTACAAAGTTTCTTATAAAGGGGCTCCAAGGTGGCACAGTAAAGGTAATTCACTTTATATTCCAGGGACTTTTTCTGTTTGGTCATTTTCTACATGACAATGTTAGCCTCTCATGTTGCTGCAGCACTATTATGGCAAACAGTTTTTTTTTACAATGGTACTTTGATTCATTTAGGTTTATTGTCAATCATTTAAAGGTATAGTGGAGGATTTTCTGTTTCCGAGTGGATCATCAAAATAAATGGTCCTCCTAATCGTAAATAATTCTGGTGATATGTTTATGTAAGGCCGTCCTATTTGCTCGTCCCCATTTTCACTTACCGGACATGAGTTTGACATAGAAAAATTATAAATCTTCTTTGAAAAATAAGCTTGTATGAACGATGCAAACAGCAACTTTCAAACAGAGTTTTCATGAGGAGAAATGGGCTTGTGCATGCTATTGCACGTGTTTAATTGTGGGTACAGGGTTGTGCATGTGCATTTTTTTTTAAGGTGGAGAGGGTGGGTTTTTTCAAAAATGTATTAAAATCCTCCACTAAACCTTGAAATACGACTGATGTCAGATCATAGATCAACGTCATTTGACAATGGAATATGAGTCATCATTACCTCGTAAACACTCATTTGTTGTTCGACTAACCATTCTGTAATGTCATTTAACATACTAGCTAAAGCCTAGCTAAATACAGAGCTGTTCTGATCTTGGGATAAATTATATTAGATGTTTACTATTTGGAATACAGGAAACTGTTACAGATGTTTTTTGCTGGCATATGTTTTAATATCCTAAGACTGATGGAAATAAACATTTGTCTTTAGTGATGTCCCATTCCGATATCAACAGTGGATATCATTCCCATACAATATCGGAATCATATCAGAAATTAAAAAATTGTATTAGGACATATCTACTTATTATCTAAGGGCATTATTAATATTTTGTCCCTTAGCATATTGATATCATCTAGACAAGAAAACCTCAATGTCTCTTTGCTTATACTTGCTGATTATCAACTAGTATTGGACTTTATTTATTGAGCGTCCGGCTGATTTAAACACTTTGGAAACAGCTGGTGAGTACTGTTCCCATTTTAGTTTTCCTTTATTGTGTGTTTTGTACATTTAGGGCCTGATCTTTAGAGGTTTACTTGTCTGATAAAACATGCAAATGTGCAGAGCAGATCTTCAAAAAGCTGTTAAGTGATTTGCGTTTGCATTTACAGCAGACATCTTGTGTGTGTGTGCCTTCATCAATATGCAATATCATATTCTAATAACCAAAGTAGACAAATTCATGGCAGGAGAATATGCAAATGTAAACATTTACCATGTGCCAAGTTTTTCAATCTAAAACACAAATGCAATTGCAGTTTCACTTCTGTTTTAGTGCTTTTTCAGTCAGTGTTGACATAAAAAAGGCATCAGTACAACGCCAAAGGATGGGAAGATATTTTTTATTTAGACCCTAAGAATCAACAGACAATAATCAGGCCCTTAGATTAGTTTTATAACTGTTCAAATTTGGTGAAGACCAAATTGTTTTGTAACATCCTTATAAGTCCAAAATGTGAAATAAATATTTCGAGCATGTCTATATAACAGCAGTTAAATATCTTTTGCACTTGCAATTAAGATACATTGTGAAATTTAGTCTTGCTATAATTTCATATGAGACAATTGTCTGAGTAAACATGGCTTCAGTATTTGATAAGTCTAAAATAAAGCTGTTCAGTTTCTTTACTAAAAGTGGCAGGCTATGCCAGTGTACCATGTTAACATACTGACTCCCATAGCTATGAACAAGAAATGTCGATTAGCTCTGACTGTCTCTTCTACACATCTGTGCGTGCAAGGTTAAAACCCCTGATAGTCCCACTCTAACTGGTGTTCTGCTGATCCAAAGTATGAGACAAACATGCACGCTGCCACAGATCAATTGGTGCAGATGCAGAAATAGAAGGGGATGCCAAAAAGATTGACTACTGCCTGCTGGGACGGCTCCCTGCGTCGGGCTTCGGTTTACAGTTAAATTATTCCCACCACCTTTATCTACTTCCTCTCCCCTGCTGTGGAGAGAAACATATTGGCAGACTGCTGGTGAAGTTAAACATTTATATCTCCAGTAAATCTCAGCCAGCAGCCTACTCTGATGGCTTTGTAATGTGGTTATTCTAATCTGAAACACGGCTGTTTTTTTTTCCAATCTTACCCTGCTCCATATAGCCTTAGTTTTCCTGCACTATCTATGATTCTCGTTTTCATACAGAGATACTATGGTGGCAAGATGTCAAATACCTGTCCATGTGTGTTAGCAGACAATATCTTATTGTTTATGTTTCCAAACCTGCTGTAGTGATTCCACAGTTGATTCCAGCTGCTCTCGCCTGGACAGCTCCTCCTCCCATCTGCAACACAGCAAAGATAACAGAGGTGGTCACTTCCACTGCTGGATCCAGTCCCCCGGAGGCCACACATATGGCTTAATGGTACGGCTGTGGAATAATACTCCCATCTCTGATTACAAAGTGCCCCTGACCGTGTGGTATCACACCCACTGCCCCTTCTTTTTTCATCCTTTTGTCCTATTGCTCCTTTGTTATCTTCACTTGTACCATAGAAAACTCAAAAGGAAGAATGGAGTGCTGACCTTTCCACAAACACAACAAACGTTGCTAATGAATAGTGTTAGAACTTGAGAGAATCTGCAAAGTGGAGATTTTCTGATGCATGTTAGCAGGAAGGAATTCATGCTAACATGCTCAGTTTGTCCATCATCCCATCTAAGGATGTTGAGATCTTCTTTTTTGCTTGCATCTGTCAAATTACATCAAAATAAGTTATGTACAAGTTATCCATCCATCCATCCTGTCTATACATGCATATCGACAAAAAACAGTCATGTCTTTGGATATTCCAAATAAATGATAAGATATAATCTTATAATATAATGGCTAATTGTATCCAAAGTACAAAAACTGTAAATTACATCTTATATTAAAGGCACACTATGCAACATTTTTCAGTTAATTAATGTGTTCCATAACGTTATGGATGATTAAATGAGTCATTTCAGGTTGAACAAAGGTATTCTCGGCCGCCCTGGTGGTCTGTGGGGGAAATACTGCACTTGCAACTGCAGGAGCACCGACCCGCACCCACAGGCTCAGAAGTCTCGTGAGAGTCAGTCTTGCTTTACGGCGAGAACTGCTACACCCCCCAGTTAAAAGCATGCTCGTTGCTAGCACAGTGGCAATCTTTGTGCAGTAATGCTACGTTCACGCAGCAAAAGCACGTCTGCTGCTTCATTTTTGCTGCTTGTACCAGTTGCTGCTCTGGCTGCGTGGTGCAAAAGTGTGTCTGAGGTGCATTGGGCGGAGCTTCACTATCCTTTCTCTGCCTTGCAGCTATATTTGCTGTGATCAGTGGGAATAAAGTAGTTTTAATATGTTTTTAAGTGAGAAAATACACCTGAAAACGTAATCAGTGCAGTCAGTTCATTCAGATTATTATCCTGCCTTCAATATTTTTTCTGTCGGAGCCGCTCAGACCCCCACATACCGGGGATGCGCCGACAGTATGGATCCCTTCATCAGCAGCGGTTCACCGCGGCAGCTGGTAGGTGTTTTTCATCTAAATAATCCAAACTGCATATTCTGCCGGCAGATTTCTGCATTTTAAGTTAATTTAGGCGTCAAACTGTTTAAGAGGAGTGATCATCAGCGCTGTGTCTCTCTCCCTGCGTTAAACGCGCCCGATGCGCTGCTTCAGCTGTTCAGACGTGCTGCGCCTGGTGCTCAAAACGCGCCGCTGGACCTTTTGCTGCGCCTTGACGCGCGTCAACCATTGACTTTGCATGTAAACTCTCTGCTTCTGTCGCGCCAGCTACGTCCAGTGTGAACGCAGCATTAGTCATTCGCTGCTAAGCTCAAAACAACCGCGCCTGGCTTGATGGAGAAACCAGGAGAACAGCTGAGCATATTTACGACAGTGCACTTTTACTTTCGCCCTCTGGGGGGAGCCTCGCTGGAAAATCAACACCGGTTGCATAGTGTACCTTTAAAGCATACTGTGTACATTTTAGCCACTAGGGGAGCTAAACCGGTAATCCAGGTTTAGCAACCCTGAAAGCAACAAGCAACTCTGAACTGGCACAGCATTTAATAGTGGTTGTCTGTGTTTTACAATCTGATAGCAGACCACTTTGAACCAGCAGATTAAGAAGTCATGGAGTTAGTCTCATATTTGTTTTGTTGCCCAACTTTCAGCTTAGTTAACTCTGGCGTTTAAGAGGAACTCAGTGATGTAAAACGGCACTATGAGTCACAGGACCGACAGATCTGACTCTCTCGAGTTGCTGGTGGAGATTCTCAGTCATCCAGAGGATGACTGAGAAAGGAACAGCACTAGACTGGTTTAAATCTTATCTATCTGATCGAATTCAGTTTGTTCATGTTAATGATAGATCTTCCACATGCTCAAAGGTTACCTGTGGAGTACCACAGGGATCAGTGCTAGGACCAATTCTCTTTACTTTATACATGCTCCCAATTGGTAGAATTATTAGACAGCATGGGATTAATTTCCACTGTTATGCTGATGATACCCAGCTATATCTGTCTATAAATCCAGATGAAGCTAACCCATTACATAGATTACAGGCATGTCTTGAAGACATAAAAACCTGGATGACTCTTAACTTTCTGCTTCTGAATGCAGACAAAACAGAAGTTATAGTCTTTGGACCAGAGTCTCTGAAAAAGAAACTGATTAGCCAGTCACTTCATTTGGATGGGATTAAACTGATTTCAGATAATAAAGTAAAAAATCTTGATGTTATTTTTGATCAGGACCTGTCATTTAAATCCCATATCAAAGAGGTTTCTAGAATTTCCTTCTTTCATCTGAGAAACATTGCAAAAATTAGAAATATCCTGTCCAGGGGTGATGCTGAGAAACTAGTCCATGCATTTGTTACTTCAAGGCTGGACTATTGTAATTCTTTACTATCAGGAAGTCCACAAACTGTAGTTAAAAGCCTTCAGCTGATCCAAAATGCTGCAGCCAGAGTTCTAATGAAAATTAAAAAGAGAGATCATATCTCGCCTATCCTGGCTTCTCTTCATTGGCTTCCTGTTAAATCAAGAATAGAATTTAAAATCCTCCTTCTCACATATAAAGCCTTAAATGGCCAAGCTCCATCTTATATCAGAGATCTGATTGTTCCTTATGTTCCTAACAGAGCACTTCGCTCTCAATCTGCAGGTTTACTAGTGGTTCCTAGAATTTCTAAAAGTAGAATGGGAGGCAGATCTTTTAGTTATCAGGCTCCTCTCCTGTGGAACCAACTACCAGTTTTAGTCCGTGAGGCAGACACCCTGTCTACTTTTAAGGCTAGGCTTAAAACTTTCCTTTTTGATAAAGCTTATAGTTAGGGTGGCTCAGGTTATCCTGAGCTATCTCTATAGTTATGCTGCTATAGGCTTAGACTTTTGGAGGACATAGGGACCCCCATTTCATCATTCTGCTTCATTCTCTCTCTGTTCTCCTATTCTGCAGAATCTGTTAGTTCAATCTCTAACCTTCTGCTCTCTCTGCTTTTCCTCAGAGTAGCTTTGCCTCGTCTGTTCCTGTTTGGCTGTGATGTCATCCTGGAAAGAAACATCAGCTGTGCTGCTTCTATCAACACCCTTGTTTATAGATGCTGGAGATCGGCCTGTTTTCCAGTGTGGTCCTGTTTCTCTGACCGTGACTGGCTGGATGTGCTCTCTTCGTCCTCTGCCATGGGAGCTGCCTTGGAGCTCGTCTGCCTGGCTGTGTGTTTCCTGGACGGGGCCGCCTTTTACAGCTGCTTTTTGTATCTCTGCTTCTGTCTCCTTGAACCCCAGTCGGCCTCGGCAGATGGCCGCTCACACTGAGCCTGGTTCTGCTGGAGGTTTCTTCCTGTTAAAAGGGAGTTTTTCCTCTCCACTGTCGCTACAAGCATGCTTAGTGTGGGGGATTGTATTTGAGTCAATGAGTCAATGCAATCAACTGGTTTTCCTTAGATAGAAAACTTTGTATCAATTTGACTGTATGATCTGGTTGAACTGTAAAGTGCCTTGAGATGACATGTGTTGTGAATTTGGCGCTATAGAAATAAACTGAATTGAATTGAATTGATCCAGGTCATAGTCATTTCAAAAAACCTTAAAAAAAAAAAAAAAAAAAAAAAAAAAAAAACAATCCACTGGACTTGGTTTCCAAGTTGAAGATGTTTCGCTTCCCATCCAGGAAGCTTTTTCAATTCAAAATGTCAGAAATAGCATTGATTACGAGGCTTTATAGGCCTCGAAGTCCGATGCTTTATAGGCCCTAACTATATGTTACACATTGTTTCTTTAAAGGATCATCAAAATCATGAGAAAAATACACTTATAAAAGGAAAATTATAGTGTCTGTATGAGACTAACGGTTAACTGTAAGGAGACCATTTTGATTTTAAAAACTGCTTTTCAATTATTATAATTATTAAAAAATATAGTAGTCTTTAGCTATTGTCATGACCCTGCTCATTTTAAATTCTACAAAAAGTTACCTTTTTAATACATGTAGATTTAGCTTAACAGCAGACAATTATTACCCTGAATCAGAGTAAAGTCTACAGTTTGATCAGGTTATGTAGATCTGGAGTTTGATGTGAAATATGAAATAATCGCCCAGAGAAAAGGCCTTTTTGTCAGAAAGTAAACACGTTTTGCTATATGTTTTAAATGTGATATATTGAAAGCCAATTTTTGTCCTTACAAAAAAAACTATGAAATGTTTTGAAGAAACTAAAATACTCAAATCGAGGTTAAAACTCTAAATCCATAGGTTCTGTAAACGGATGTTTAATTTGCATTTGCTTATAAAAAAAGGTTTCACTGGTATTAATTAATTATACCTACTCTTTCTTTCATATTACACACAGTTTTGCTCAGCCTGGGCAGACACACCTTCTTGCCATCTTGGTTAAATTCATGCCAAGACAAGAAATGAACTGCTGAGAATTCTGTGGTCAGGTTTTTGGTTTAAGGTTTTTTAAAGGGTTTTAAAGGCCCGAAAATATTAGTTTGAGTTGTTTTGATTTCTCTCTTATATAATCCAAACATGCATGGTTAGCTAGACAGACAGACAGACATATAGAAAAACAGACCAACACACACCGACAGACAGCCTTGACGTTCAGATTGTACAGAGTGTTAACGTTCCCAAATCCAAGATTTTTCCTGACAGAGCCTGAAAGCTAAAATAATTAACATCAGATATGCTATAATTTGCTCAGTCTAACTGTTACCTGGTTAAAATCTTACTCTCTGTGGTTTTCTGAGAAACCGAATGTACCACAGATCTTTTGTATAACTTAGCCTCATTTTAAATGTCTGTT